TTCGCCTCCCGAACAGGAACTATAACTGTAATATGATTATGTTGTACATTGTGTGTCTGTCCCCTCTCAGTCCAGTGGGGAATGCCCCTGGAATATGTTACTGTAGTGTGTGGTCCCATTAAAATCAGTTCAGCTTTACCCTCAACACAGAGCTTTGTCTCGTGCTTGTAGGGACCTGCTATACCAGCTATACCTGCTTCTGTACCGCTTGGATTTATGCTTGGGAATACATCAGCACTATTCATACTAGGGGGAAAGGACATCTCTGGCGATGGAAACCCCTGCTCTCACAGGGTGGCTGCCACATTTAGTGGCAGCGGTGAGGTGGTCCTTCTTCTCCAGAAGAAATGCTGAATGAATGGAGATCCAATATGACAAATTAAAGCAGTTAACTTTGAAAGACTTATTAGAAAGTTGTGGCCGCACCACCAGCAACCGACCACAAAAGGAACTAATTGCCAAATTGATGGAATTAGACCGAACAACTGCAATGGCCGAACCAATGTCCCGAATAGAGGAGAGGATGAAAACCTGCGGTCCGTTTGGCTGAGGTTGGCATTAAATGGGCCAAATCCTACTACGGAGCTTATTAACGCAGAACTTAAGTAAAAATAAAAGAAAAACCTAAGACGTATTACGGGGCCTTAAAATGGCCAGATTTAACGTATAAAAGGAAAAACCACAAGGCAAGCTATGGACAAGATTGCAGAAAACACGGAAACAATGAACAAGCCAAAGGTCGAGGAATATAGAGGTCAGGATAGTCAGGAGCCAAGCCAAAGGTAAAGGAATACAGAGATCGGATAGTCAGAAGGAAAGCCAAGGTCAAAATACCTGATTGGCTGCAGGGAAGCATGTGATCGTGAACGTGTGTGACATCATCCACACATTCCAAATGGAATGGCACTCTAAGGGCCTACTCACAAACCCTTAAATCATCAGCGACCGGTGTCTCTAATGATTACAGACCCGACCGCTGTGTGAGGGGGAGGAGTTCCTGTCAGAGGCTTGAGGTGACTGATGGGCGGCATTCCCATTACCACGTGGGAATGCATTTAGAACGAGATGTGCCCGCCGTGTCCCTGTCCGCTCCCGGGCATGAGTGGACCCAGCGGGTGCCTGCAATTCTGGTAAGTATTCGGCTGCATTCACGTTGATGTGTGGGAATGGCGCAGGAACGATGAGCGCTTGCCGGGACCCATACCACTCTCTGGCAAGAGCGGACCCAGCAGGCTGCGTGACATTGACCAGGTGTTCAGCACGGTGGGAGAAGAAGACGGGGAGAAAAGGGAACATCAGTTGCAGCTGGGTGAGTTACGGCAAGAAGGGCATACCCCCACGATACCCTCTGCAGGAAAAAAGTCTCTTTTGCAGCATTTAAGGACTTCCAAGAGGCAGAGGGAGAGATAGCCATCTATCTTGCTGATTTTGAGAGACAATGTGCACTGCTTAAAGTACCCGCGGATGAATGGGTCACTATTTTATCTGTCAAGTTGTCCGGTAGAGCTGCTGAATATATAATTTATATGATGGTTTGCATTATCTATTTGGTGGAGGGTAGTGCTGAGATCAATGGTAATTAGAAAATTTGTTTCCTGACCATTATTCATGGCAGCATTTACTCATGGGTTAGCTCCTCCCCTCACAGCAAAAAGGACAGGAAACAGAACTCTGAAACTGGTATAAATAGATCCTCCCCCTTCCCATCAGGCAGTCTTTTTTCCTGTCCTTCACAGCAGTGTGAAAGGAGTCTGCTTATGCAGGCCTAGATTTTCTTTTATGCTCACCAGGCAATATTTTTGTAGCCTTGCCGGGGGTTCAGCCTCTCAGCCCTGAAGACCCAGCAAAGCACTATTGTAAGGTAGCCAGCCTGGGTACCCCCTTTAGTGACTGGGGGTCGGACCCAACCTCTCCCTCTGGGGATGAAATTGGTCCACTGCATGCCAGGGTTCAGCCTCTTATCCCTGAAGACCCAGCAACAGGCCAGCTTGGGTACCCCCTCAGGGGATGAATGTGATATGCTGCCTACAGGAAGCCAGGCCTGGGTTCAGCCTCTTATCCCTGAAGACCCAGCAACAGGCCAGCTTGGGGATATATGGGCCTACATGAAGCCAGGCCAGGGTTCAGCCTCTTATCCCTGAAGACCCAGCAACAGGCCAGCTTGGGTACCCCCTCAGGGGATGAATGTGATATGCTGCCTACAGGAAGCCAGGCCTGGGTTCAGCCTCTTATCCCTGAAGACCCAGCAACAGGCCAGCTTGGGGATATATGGGCCTACATGAAGCCAGGCCAGGGTTCAGCCTCTTATCCCTGAAGACCCAGCAAACAACACATCTGTAAGAGTCGCCAGCCTGGGTACCTCCTTCAGCAATCAGGAGTCTGACCTATCTCTCTCCCTGAGGGGATGACAGCGGTCCACTGCATACATGAGGCCCAGCCGAGTCTAAGCCTTTATCCTTGAAGACCCAGCAAACAGCACTTCCATAAGGTGACTACCTGGGTATACCTATTCTATGTATTCCACTTGGGTTTGGTTTACATTTAGGGTGTCAGTTGTTCAAATCCCCATTTTGCCGCTGAAACATAGGCCTGCAACTGTTCAGGTAAGTGCATTAGTAATTTAGATTAAAGCTAGTATAGGCACCTGGGTCTCTGTTCTTTCAGTCCCTCCCAGCTGCTTACATTAGGCTTCCTTCTAACAAATAGGTCACATTTAGGAGGTTTCTGTGGTGAGCATTTAGGTAAGTTTTTACATGCTTGGTGCAAAAGAGTGCTGATAATGCAAGAAGGCATTTTGCAAGAGTGCTGATAATGCAATGAGGCATTGTGAAAAAGAGTGCTAATAATGGATATGCTGGGTGAATAAAGTCTGCTGGAATTCCACAGCCTGAAGACAGAGAAATATCCAAGGTAAGAGAACTTTCCTCGATGTCTGATTGAAGTACACACATGTATATGACAGGTTTTAAAACCTAAAAATAAGTCCACACACGCACTTGTTTTTATCAAGGAATGTGGTATAGATTGCTGTTATCTGTGAATTACCGCAAATAAGCAGGCTTTTCCAGAGAGTGGTAGAATTTCTGCATATGAGATCTCTGGGCCTCAGTATCTGTACATGAACTGGTTGTGGTACAGCTTCGGTAGGTTTCCACTATATGCTCTAATGTATGAATTGGTATGCTTGATGTATTAGTGGATATGCTCTATGTATGAGTTACTGTGAGGACACTGCCTCAGTATATGTACCCACTATATGCGCTATGTATGAGTTACTGTGAGGACACGGCCTCAGTATATGTACCCACTATACAGGGAGTGCAGAATTATTAGGCAAATGAGTATTTTGACCACATCATCCTCTTTATGCATGTTGTCTTACTCCAAGCTGTATAGGCTCGAAAGCCTACTACCAATTAAGCATATTAGGTGATGTGCATCTCTGTAATGAGAAGGGGTGTGGTCTAATGACATCAACACCCTATATCAGGTGTGCATAATTATTAGGCAACTTCCTTTCCTTTGGCAAAATGGGTCAAAAGAAGGACTTGACAGGCTCAGAAAAGTCAAAAATAGTGAGATATCTTGCAGAGGGATGCAGCACTCTTAAAATTGCAAAGCTTCTGAAGCGTGATCATCGAACAATCAAGCGTTTCATTCAAAATAGTCAACAGGGTCGCAAGAAGCGTGTGGAAAAACCAAGGCGCAAAATAACTGCCCATGAACTGAGAAAAGTCAAGCGTGCAGCTGCCACGATGCCACTTGCCACCAGTTTGGCCATATTTCAGAGCTGCAACATCACTGGAGTGCCCAAAAGCACAAGGTGTGCAATACTCAGAGACATGGCCAAGGTAAGAAAGGCTGAAAGACGACCACCACTGAACAAGACACACAAGCTGAAACGTCAAGACTGGGCCAAGAAATATCTCAAGACTGATTTTTCTAAGGTTTTATGGACTGATGAAATGAGAGTGAGTCTTGATGGGCCAGATGGATGGGCCCGTGGCTGGATTGGTAAAGGGCAGAGAGCTCCAGTCCGACTCAGACGCCAGCAAGGTGGAGGTGGAGTACTGGTTTGGGCTGGTATCATCAAAGATGAGCTTGTGGGGCCTTTTCGGGTTGAGGATGGAGTCAAGCTCAACTCCCAGTCCTACTGCCAGTTCCTGGAAGACACCTTCTTCAAGCAGTGGTACAGGAAGAAGTCTGCATCCTTCAAGAAAACATGATTTTCATGCAGGACAATGCTCCATCACACGCGTCCAAGTACTCCACAGCGTGGCTGGCAAGAAAGGGTATAAAAGAAGAAAATCTAATGACATGGCCTCCTTGTTCACCTGATCTGAACCCCATTGAGAACCTGTGGTCCATCATCAAATGTGAGATTTACAAGGAGGGAAAACAGTACACCTCTCTGAACAGTGTCTGGGAGGCTGTGGTTGCTGCTGCACGCAATGTTGATGGTGAACAGATCAAAACACTGACAGAATCCATGGATGGCAGGCTTTTGAGTGTCCTTGCAAAGAAAGGTGGCTATATTGGTCACTGATTTGTTTTTGTTTTGTTTTTGAATGTCAGAAATGTATATTTGTGAATGTTGAGATGTTATATTGGTTTCACTGGTAATAATAAATAATTGAAATGGGTATATATTTGTTTTTTGTTGTTGCCTAATAATTATGCACAGTAATAGTCACCTGCACACACAGATATCCCCCTACCATAGCTATAACTAAAAACAAACTAAAAACTACTTCCAAAAATATTCAGCTTTGATATTAATGAGTTTTTTGGGTTCATTGAGAACATGGTTGTTGTTCAATAATATAATTAATCCTCAAAAATACAACTTGCCTAATAATTCTGCACTCCCTGTATAATTCTTAATAATAAACTTAAACCAACTGTCAGAAACAAGATTCATTTGTTTATTATCATTATTATTTATGAAGCACCAACAAATTCCATAGCGCTGTACACAGAGAGTTTATTGAAATAGAGTACCTTATCAGTGTCCTGGATACATTCGGTAATAACAGATTGATTCTTAGAACATTGATCCTGTTCAGTATATACTTCTTGAACATGGGAAAGGGCAGTCTGGAGTCTGTTAAAGACAAAACCAACAAGTATAAATATTTCTACTCCTTAGAATAATGACAGCAGGGTATGGGGTATCTGTGGGTGCGAGGAGAGTAATGACAGCAGGGTATGGGGTATCTGTGGGTGCGAGGAGAGTAATGACAGCAGGGTATGGGGTATCTGTGGGTGCGAGGAGAGTAATGACAGCAGGGTATGGGGTGTCTGTGGGTGCGAGGAGAGTAATGACAGCAGGGTATGGGGTGTCTGTGGGTGCGAGGAGAGTAATGACAGCAGGGTATGGGGTATCTGTGGGTGCGAGGAGAGTAATGACAGCAGGGTATGGGGTATCTGTGGGTGCGAGGAGAGTAATGACAGCAGGGTATGGGGTGTCTGTGGGTGCGAGGAGAGTAATGACAGCAGGGTATGGGGTATCTGTGGGTGCGAGGAGAGTAATGACAGCAGGGTATGGGGTATCTGTGGGTGCGAGGAGAGTAATGACAGCAGGGTATGGGGTATCTGTGGTGCAGGAGAGTAATGACAGCAGGGTATGGGATATCTGTCGGTGTGAGGAGTATAATGACAGCAGGGTATGGGATATCTGTCGGTGTGAGGAGTATAATGACAGCAGGGTATGGGATATCTGTCGGTGTGAGGAGGATAATGACAGCAGGGTATGGGATATCTGTCGGTGTGAGGAGGATAATGACAGCAGGGTATGGGATATCTGTCGGTGTGAGGAGGATAAGTGACAGCAGGGTATGGTGTATCTTGGGTGTGAGGAGGATAATGACAGCAGGGTATGGGATATCTGTCTGTATGAGGAGGATAATGACAGCAGGGTATGGTGTATCTTTGGGTGTGAGGAGTATAATGACAGCAGGGTATGGGATATCTGTCGGTGTGAGGAGGATAATGACAGCAGGGTATGGGATAGCTGTGGGTGTGATGAGGATAATGACAGCAGGGTATGGTGTATCTTTGGGTGTGAGGAGGATAATGACAGCAGGGTATGGTGTATCTGTCGGTGTGAGGAGGATAATGACAGCAGGGTATGGGATATCTGTCGGTGTGAGGAGGATAATGACAGCAGGGTATGGGATATCTGTCGGTGTGAGGAGGATAATGACAGCAGGGTATGGGGTATCTGTCGGTGTGAGGAGGATAATGACAGCAGGGTATGGTGTATCTTTGGGTGTGAGGAGGGTAATGACAGCAGGGTATGGTGTATCTTTGGGTGTGAGGAGGATAATGACAGCAGGGTATGGGATATCTGTCGGTGTGAGGAGGGTAATGACAGCAGGGTATGGGATATCTGTCGGTGTGAGGAGTATAATGACAGCAGGGTATGGGATATCTGTCGGTGTGAGGAGGATAATGACAGCAGGGTATGGGATATCTGTCTGTATGAGGAGGATAATGACAGCAGGGTATGGGATATCTGTCGGTGTGAGGAGGATAATGACAGCAGGGTATGGGATATCTGTCGGTGTGAGGAGGATAATGACAGCAGGGTATGGGATATCTGTCGGTGTGAGGAGGATAATGACAGCAGGGTATGGGATATCTGTCTGTATGAGGAAGATAGTGACATTAGGGTATGGGGACAGGTGTGAGATGGAAAGTGACAGCAGGGCATGGGATATCTGTCAGTGTGAGGAGAGATATGTCAGAATGTGGAGGACTTTATTAAAGTTATAGGTTTAGTAAATATCAGTATGTAGAGAGACGAGGACAGTGATTATTGAGAAATAATACACAAAATACTGGCAGATATAAAATACATTCCCAGCATTTATTTGGAAAGACATGAGTCTCCCGTTAGAAAAATATATTTAGACTAGATTTACTTGGTTCCTTCTCTGTCCAAGCGATCTCTCAAACAAGCCGAGTATCTCAGGTAGGTCTGAATGAAGCAGATGAAGACTCTTGGTGAAGTAAATGGATTACGGGGACAATACCGGTAGTTGTAAATCTGGGCAGATTGATGGATGAGAGACATTACAACAGCTAGAGATACTGGAGATGTCCAGGAACCTATGGAGAGGTCAATGGGCATAGGGTCATTAGCAAATGGAAAACAGCTGGTACTGATTAACATACAATTCAATTCTCTTGAATAAGCTATTCAAATGATCCCAATCTGCGTTTGTTTAGATGATTTATATAAAGTCACCATTAACGTCTATGGGAATCTTTGTAGATAAATGATTTTAAACATTTTCTAAAACTTTACGATCATCTAAAAACGTAAAAAATAATATTGAATCAACATACCAGATAAATCAATATCATTATGTAAATACTTGAATCTAGGAATACTGAGTAGAGAGAGACATTGGATGAACAGCTCTATGAAACATAGCGAGTCTCTCAGAGACAGCACAGACACCTTACTGAAACATAGCGAGCTCTCAGAGACAGCACTACACCTTACTGAAACATAGCGAGTAGCTCAGAGACAGCACAGACACCTTACTGAAACATAGTGAGTCTCTCAGAGACAGCACAGACACCTTACTGAAACACAGCGAGTCTCTCAGAGACAGCACAGACACCTTACTGAAACATAGCGAGTCTCTCAGAGACAGCACAGACACCTTACTGAAACATAGCGAGTCTCTCAGAGACAGCACAGACACCTTACTGAAACATAGCGAGTCTCTCAGAGACAGCACAGACACCTTACTGAAACATAGCGAGTCTCTCAGAGACAGCACAGACACCTTACTGAAACATAGCGAGTCTCTCAGAGACAGCACAGACACCTTACTGAAACATAGCGAGTCTCTCAGAGACAGCACAGACACCTTACTGAAACATAGCGAGTCTCTCAGAGACAGCACAACACCTTACTGAAACATAGCGAGTCTCTCAGAGACAGCACCGACACCTTACTGAAACATAGCGAGTCTCTCAGAGACAGCACAACACCTTACTGAAACATAGCGAGTCTCTCAGAGACAGCACCAACACCTTACTGAAACATAGCGAGTCTCTCAGAGACAGCACCGACACCTTACTGAAACATAGCGAGTCTCTCAGAGACAGCACCGACACCTTACTGAAACATAGCGAGTCTCTCAGAGACAGCACATACACCTTACTGAAACATAGCGAGTCTCTCAGAGACAGCACCAGACACCTTACTGAAACATAGCGAGTCTCTCAGAGACAGCACCAGACACCTTACTGAAACATAGCGAGTCTCTCAGAGACAGCACAGACACCTTACTGAAACATAGCGAGTCTCTCAGAGACAGCACAGACACCTTACTGAAACATAGCGAGTCTCTCAGAGACAGCACCAACACCTTACTGAAACATAGCGAGTCTCTCAGAGACAGCACATACACCTTACTGAAACATAGCGAGACTCTCAGAGACAGCACCGACACCTTACTGAAACATAGCGAGTCTCTCAGAGACAGCACCGACACCTTACTGAAACATAGCGAGTCTCTCAGAGACAGCACCGACACCTTACTGAAACATAGCGAGTCTCTCAGAGACAGCACAGACACCTTACTGAAACATAGCGAGTCTCTCAGAGACAGCACAGACACCTTACTGAAACATAGCGAGACTCTCAGAGACAGCACCGACACCTTACTGAAACATAGCGAGTCTCTCAGAGACAGCACCGACACCTTACTGAAACATAGCGAGTCTCTCAGAGACAGCACAGATACCTTACTGAAACATAGCGAGTCTCTCAGAGACAGCACCGACACCTTACTGAAACATAGCGAGTCTCTCAGAGACAGCACAGACACCTTACTGAAACATAGCGAGTCTCTCAGAGAGAGCACCGACACCTTACTGAAACATAGCGAGTCTCTCAGAGACAGCACAGACACCTTACTGAAACATAGCGAGTCTCTCAGAGACAGCACAGACACCTTACTGAAACATAGCGAGTCTCTCAGAGACAGCACAGACACCTTACTGAAACATAGTGAGTCTCTCAGAGACAGCACAGACACCTTACTGAAACATAGCGAGACTCTCAGAGACAGCACCGACACCTTACTGAAACATAGCGAGTCTCTCAGAGACAGCACAGACACCTTACTGAAACATAGCGAGTCTCTCAGAGACAGCACAGACACCTTACTGAAACATAGCGAGTCTCTCAGAGACAGCACAGACACCTTACTGAAACATAGCGAGTCTCTCAGAGACAGCACAGACACCTTACTGAAACATAGCGAGTCTCTCAGAGACAGCACATACACCTTACTGAAACATAGCGAGTCTCTCAGAGACAGCACCGACACCTTACTGAAACATAGCGAGTCTCTCAGAGACAGCACAGACACCTTACTGAAACATAGCGAGTCTCTCAGAGACAGCACCGACACCTTACTGAAACATAGCGAGTCTCTCAGAGACAGCACAGACACCTTACTGAAACATAGCGAGTCTCTCAGAGACAGCACAGACACCTTACTGAAACATAGCGAGTCTCTCAGAGACAGCACAGACACCTTACTGAAACATAGCGAGTCTCTCAGAGACAGCACAGACACCTTACTGAAACATAGCGAGTCTCTCAGAGACAGCACAGACACCTTACTGAAACATAGCGAGACTCTCAGAGACAGCACAGACACCTTACTGAAACATAGCGAGTCTCTCAGAGACAGCACAGACACCTTACTGAAACATAGCGAGTCTCTCAGAGACAGCACCGACACCTTACTGAAACATAGCGAGTCTCTCAGAGACAGCACAGACACCTTACTGGAACATAGCGAGTCTCTCAGAGACAGCACCGACACCTTACTGGAACATAGCGAGTCTCTCAGAGACAGCACCGACACCTTACTGAAACATAGCGAGTCTCTCAGAGACAGCACAGACACCTTACTGAAACATAGCGAGTCTCTCAGAGACAGCACAGACACCTTACTGAAACATAGCGAGTCTCTCAGAGACAGCACCGACACCTTACTGAAACATAGCGAGTCTCTCAGAGACAGCACAGACACCTTACTGGAACATAGCGAGTCTCTCAGAGACAGCACCGACACCTTACTGAAACATAGCGAGTCTCTCAGAGACAGCACAGACACCTTACTGAAACATAGCGAGTCTCTCAGAGACAGCACAGACACCTTACTGAAACATAGCGAGTCTCTCAGAGACAGCACCGACACCTTACTGAAACATAGCGAGACTCTCAGAGACAGCACAGACACCTTACTGAAACATAGCGAGTCTCTCAGAGACAGCACCAACACCTTACTGAAACATAGCGAGTCTCTCAGAGACAGCACCAACACCTTACTGAAACATAGCGAGTCTCTCAGAGACAGCACCGACACCTTACTGAAACATAGCGAGTCTCTCAGAGACAGCACAGATACCTTACTGAAACATAGCGAGTCTCTCAGAGACAGCACCGACACCTTACTGAAACATAGCGAGTCTCTCAGAGACAGCACAGACACCTTACTGAAACATAGCGAGTCTCTCAGAGACAGCACAGACACCTTACTGAAACATAGTGAGTCTCTCAGAGACAGCACAGACACCTTACTGAAACATAGCGAGTCTCTCAGAGACAGCACAGACACCTTACTGAAACATAGCGAGACTCTCAGAGACAGCACAGACACCTTACTGAAACATAGCGAGACTCTCAGAGACAGCACAGACACCTTACTGAAACATAGCGAGTCTCTCAGAGACAGCACAGACACCTTACTGAAACATAGCGAGTCTCTCAGAGACAGCACCGACACCTTACTGAAACATAGCGAGTCTCTCAGAGACAGCACAGACACCTTACTGGAACATAGCGAGTCTCTCAGAGACAGCACCGACACCTTACTGGAACATAGCGAGTCTCTCAGAGACAGCACCGACACCTTACTGAAACATAGCGAGTCTCTCAGAGACAGCACAGACACCTTACTGAAACATAGCGAGTCTCTCAGAGACAGCACCGACACCTTACTGAAACATAGCGAGTCTCTCAGAGACAGCACCAACACCTTACTGAAACATAGCGAGTCTCTCAGAGACAGCACAGACACCTTACTGAAACATAGCGAGT